TGATAGCTGGAAAAAAGCATCTACGTATTAAGCGTCTAGAAATATTTTTAAAAAGCATGAGACTTCTTTTAGAAAATTATGTTAATTTAGTCAAGAATAGAATAATATTATATCACATTAGGTTGATAGTGTTGTTCTAATCAACTAACAATTACTTTCGAAAATTAGATAAGATTTCTATCCACAATCTATAAATAAGTTGTCACATATTTTTCAACAAAGTTTGATAGAAAAAAATTCAATGTCTGAAACAATTTCAATCTATACAAGTTTAAAATTAAATCATCTTAATACATAAGGCAATTAAGATGTTGAATATTTAACAACTAAACGAGTAACACCTAAATAAAATGTCACAAGTTTATATATTATTAAACTAGTGTTGCTCATTTGATTCTCCTTTACTTTGTTAATTAGGTAAAAATGATTGTTGGATACATAAAATAAAATATTATACCACTAAAAAAGGAACCCACTAAATGATGTAATATAAATAATTTATTTTAATATAAATATTAATAATTTCTTCCACATTTTGGACCCCTAAACCCTTAACTATTAAAAAGGGAATAAAAACAAAATATATATGAAATTTCAAAGTAAATGGAGTTGATTGCAGACGTTGAAAGGCATAGGGCCATATATAAGGCCAGGGCCAAAATTCTGTTGGAATGATAGTGATCTAAGTGACCATCATTGCATGTGGGTGGTGGTTGAGAGCCTATTCTAATCAAATCATCAACTTCTTTGTCTATAATTTAATAGCAAAAAAAATTGAGTCATATATCTTATTAGCATACGAAATTTCTATGTCATTATCGGATTGGAGAATATGAAGATCGAAAATTAATAAGTAATTGAGCATTGTAGGGTTTTATCTTATTAGTATTATTATTAATACATACAGTTTTATTTTATGATTTAATTATTATATATTGTTTTCTTTGCTTCAATTATTGTATTTTTTAAAATTATTTATCATAAATAATTTTTTTATCTTCATAAGATATTGTAAGATTGTGTATCACCTTCTCTGTTCCCACTTATAAGATTATACTAAAACTATTGTGATAGATTATCCTTATAATTTGTAGCAAATATGTATTGTATTATCTTTCACTTTTAAAAAATGTCGTATAAATATCTTTTGAATAATCTGATATCATGATAAATTATCGAATGGTGAAACCAAATTTGTTGGACCCCTCTCTTTTTTTGTCATAGATAGTGTGGTCCTTTGTGAATTCTAGAACACAATCTAGAGAAAATATGTTTCCTAGTTCCTACAACTGTAATTCTTTTGAAAATTTGCTTGACCAATCTTTATCTTTAGTAGGCGTTTGGATATAGATTTATTTTTTATTTTTTGAAATCAAGGTTAGAAAATAGTATTTAAAAATTAAAATTGTATTTGAAATATACATTTTGTTTGAAAAAGAAATATAAAGTTTTGTGGTTGAAAAGAGAGTTCCTCGATTGGAGAACTAGTTTTACTTGTTGGGCTATTACAGATGAAGCCTTGTGACAATTAGCCCAAATCTGAGATAATCCATGGACCTACTAAAGGTATTTCCGGGCAAGTATACATATGTTGCATTTGTGCTTTTGGATCACCATTTAGATTTAGGTAGCTTACACAATTTTCACTCGATTAGAAACTAACTACTTAGATATACATGAGTTTACAATATTGTGAAATTTAGCAAACTTTTTGCTCTCAGATACATGTATTTCTGGATATATGGGATCAAAATCAGGTTTAGTTTATTCTATATAGACTATATATAAGTGGATTCACATAGACAAATCTCGCCTTCCTCCCATTTCGCTCGTCACTGTATTTGGGATACATAAACAGTTCTTGCTCGCCTTCCTTCTGTTCTCGCTCGCCTCTCTCTCTATTTGAATATCTCTGGTAGCAAAGAACATACGTATCTAGGTGTATTTGACTTGGAATTTAGAATGAAATTGTTAATTAGTGATAGTATGTAATTATTTCAAACTATAAGGAAAATTAATAAATATTATAGAAATGTCTGTGTAATTAGATAATTTCTTTCTTTATTGTCATTTTTAAAAGTTCACACACATATAGTACTTGAATAACTACCTTTTGAGATAAAATCAAATTTAAATATTACTCAATTTTACATTCAAAACATGAGTCTATCATCAAATATTTATAATAAGTCATAATTTTAGACTATAATCTAACATTTTCTGGTAATATCTTCAAATATATGCCTTGCTTTTTAATTTGGTTGTTAGGTTTGGTTCCTCAAAAGATAATTAAGGCACAATATATTCGCATGCGAGCATATGCTTTCGGGCTCCATAACCTAACACCTCCACTGACCATTTTCTTCTTAAGGATGTGTTTGCATTTTTTATTAAATAAAATAATGAGTTTCTTATTCATTTTATAGTTGTTTGTAAATAATAACTAAAAAAATATTATTTGGATATTTATGTATAATTTGATAAAAATAATATGAGAATGAAATATGACATGA